AAGGCTTTTTGTGTAAAAGATCAGAGAAGATTAAGAATATAACGAAATGACTTGAAATCATAACCTGAAGTCGAAAGATTTATTGCGACATCGTTGCTGTCATTTTGCTTTACAATTACATATGTAATGTTTTCCGTATAGAAGCATTAAGTTAAATGCGAATTGTTTCCATACAATTAAAGAGACTGTGAAAATTAGTAATTGGTGAAAGTTTTAGCTCTTTGGGTCTAATATTGAAGGAAATGTGGGCTTTCGGAAATTACAAAATTTCTCGGAAGAGAAAGCGTTAATAAGCTCATACATTCATAGGTCAATTAATCGTGTCTTTCCCTTTCAATACACTCTTTTTTTTACAGGAATATATTTGACAAGAATATCGAGGCTGAAATTTACGAGATTGTAAAAATATTTTTAAGAATAAACCCGAGGCTCAGATTTTGAGAAGAATATGGCTTTGCGTGTTGAAAATTTTAAATAGAATACAATTATATGTTTTTTACCAAACAGTATATATAAAATTCACTTTCTCTAAACGGCAAAACTACCAAAAAAACATATCTGCAAGAAGCTATGTGCGTCATTTTAGGCTGTAACGCTTGCAGCCTGGCTCCAAAATTACTTTAACACCATCCAGACACCAAATACATTCGAAACCAGAAATACGCTGTAATCTAAGAATATTCACACAAATATTTTCAGCCTAAAATCGGCCGAAAAATAAGAATATTCAGCCTCGGCTGTAAATAAATATTTTTATGAAAAAAGAGTGTATTCAGACTTGGTACTTTTGAGGCACTTAAGCTGATGAAGCAAATATTGTTAACCAAAATTGCAGTATAAAAAAGTGCAAAGTTACAATTTGCGTCCTCCTCGCTTCCCTAATGGAAACCAAATTCTCAGTAACGGTAGAATGGTTGCCAGAAACTTGTTTGACAAGAACTTATCATAAAGCAAGAACATGTCATGATGGCAACTAGTGAAATGGATTAACATGTGGAAAAAATTAGAACATTAGGTAACAGTGGCTGTTTACTATTTAGAACGAAATTACGGAAATTTTAGTGAGGAATCACCGTACGGGAAGAACAAAGAAACGTTGAGGATAATTAAGGCTAAGGCTGTGAAAACCAAAAGGATTGGGGCTGCTGTAAACGATACAAAACTTTACATGGAATATGAATTTTCATTAGTAACGGCCAGACTGGTAAATGGCACGCGTATGACCCTTACAAAAGTAGTTTTTCTTTGTCCCGGAAATTTTCTAGTGGGCTGTACACAGAGAAAGAGTCATATCCATTTACGCATCGAAACCGGAATTTACTGAAAATGCTGTAAATGGTAGTTTCCTTTATTCAGTTTCACCGCTCCGCCTGAAAATGTAGATAGATGGACTTGGGTGTGAATAAACGGGTTATAAACTCAACTTTTGGCCCAAATGGTTTATCTGCAGATACATTTTGGTGTACATCGGCGAGTTCGCAAAGGTTAATTAAGAAAAAAAACGTTTATATTATAATACTCTGCGCTCAAGTGGGTTTCTTGTACGTATATCCCCTCCGAAGCTGTAACAAAGTGCGTGAAGGCTTTGCTTTATGATAACTCTGGTGATCGTTTTGGCGCCGAAGTCAGAGAATCTGACTCAAAATAGCTTTGTACTCTCGCCTGAACTGTTTATTTGTTACTCCATATATGAAAGGGTTTATGGCGCTACTAAGGTAAATCAAGAACCCGTATGTAAGGTAAGCTTGTCGCGAAAAAGTGGATTTCCCTTGTGCGACGTCGATGTAGTCCATGACAGAGATAGGAAGCCAACAACATGTAAAACCGACCATTACTGCTGCTAAAGTCTTGGTAACTTTTGCTTCTTCCACGTTCGCTCTGAGTTGCTGCAAGTTGTTTTGAAGCGAGAAAACACGGTTTGATTGCGATACTGAGCAGAACACTTTGGCGTAGCAGATTTTAATTACTGTTAAGGGTGCTGCAATATAAATGAGCCCAAGAAAGACAGCGTAGGTAATGTTTCTTTCAAATGTATACAAGCACATGGCTTCACCCGGGTGGAATTCAAATCCAGAGTTGTTAAAGAAGAACGGAGGCACAGATCCAACGAGAGCTACGCACCAAACAACAGCAATGTACAGCAAAGCTCTTTGTTTTTTGAACAAGACCGCGTACTTTTCCGGTTTGACAACGCAGTAATATCGACTTACTGCAATTAATCCCATAGTCTGAAGAGAAGCAAATCCAAATGTGAATGCTCCAAAACCGACAAAACGACAAAAACTCTCACCAAAAATCCAGTGGCCGCGAAAAAGAGTTACAACTGAAAAAGGCATACAGAAGATGGACATGAGAATATCGCTTACATCAAGCGCTATCACAAGCATGTTGGGAAGCGTACGAAGGCTGTGGTTTCTGTACACGGCGTAACAAGTAAGGAGATTGCCAAAGAAGGCCACAACATTGATGAGAGCTAACAAAACTGTTTCAATCCAAACAAGGGCGTCCGTCCTCAAAGCAAGCTCTTTAGAAAATGATTCCTTCATGACTTTGACGACTTACGGAAAAAAAAACTTTAAAGTTTTGAAGCAGTATTAAACTTTCAATTTGTGTACAAACCCTCGTTGCTGTTATTATTTAAAGGTATTTATTACTGATGAGATATTTGATTCTCAGTCTCAATTCAGCTCTAGATAATTCTGGTTTCTGACCTGTCAAGCGCAGTGAGGTAGCTAATGGAGTTATTTTAACCCCTGCCGAACGGGTTTACTCAACGACAATTTTCCTGTCGATATGCAATATATTAGATATATTTGAGCGTGTTGAATATGACGCTAATTACAACAGTTAATATTTACAAGGAAACATTACGTACGAATACAATTGTTCTTGTTTGAAAAGCTATGAAATTTCACCTTTTAGCGACGGAAGTCAATTTATGCTCAATATAGCCTGTCCATTAAAAAAGGTTTCCCAGCAACGGCAGGCGTACAACAATGGCTGACGGCGAAGTCGAAGTAGAAGAGCAGAAGCAGGTCATAGAAGGGAAAATAGGAAATGAATTAGAAGGACGAGGATACAGAGTTACTAATAAACCTGTTTGAGGACCGAGCCCATTAATGGGATGTAGTTCATGAAGACTGCATAAATAGCGACAAAAAGGAAGAGGCTTACTGTCAAATCGATGTAATATGCTAAAGTCTTCCCCAGGCTCCTTCGAAAGGCAGTCTGTCTACTATGCGCATGCCTGAGCCTTTGTTTTCTGAGACAATGTTTCTTCGTGTAGCCACTGGGGCAGTAGAATATTTGTTTTGTTCGCTCTAATTTGGCCGTAACTAGAACAAGAAACAGTGTATCTGCAACGAAGTTTCCTAATTTTTCTAGTTTAGCCAGGCCTTTATTGAGTGACGGAATGGAGCAGTTTTCAATTAAATGTCACTCTGGTCAATCACAAAGGACACAGACAGTAGAATAAACCAATCAAAACTCAAAGTAATTGCAAGTAGCTGACGCAAAGCATGGGAAAACGAGTGCGAACGAGATATGGTTGGTTTTAGTTTTACTTCAGGTTAGATTAAAAAGTAGGGCGAGTTTTTGAAGCTAATCGTGTAGCGTGACTTGACTTAATAGTCTTCACTCCGACCGGAGCATAGGTCCTCCGCTACAGCTTTTCAGCGGACCCAGTTTTGTGCAGTCCGTTTCTCTTGATTCCATGACATCCCCAAGTCCTCATGCTCCTGCTGTATAGTCCTACTCCATGACTTCTTCAGTCTGCCTTTCCTCCTAGCCCCCCGAGGGTTGCACTCAAGAAACAGATCGGTAAATTCCTTGTCTCGATTCGGATACAGTACGAGAAACAATAGCTTCGGCCTTGATGGCGGCATGGTTTGCCTACCAGTGTTTTTGTCGGGATAGGTAAAAATCGCTAGCCCTTTCAGTCCTGTGGGACCATCTGGGAAAAGTTTAGCTGTAGGGTTAGTTTCTGTAGCCACCTTTATCCACTCGACAGGTGGCTAACCCGGGGAGCTTCACATCCACCTATCAGCCTCAGGAGTCATTAGAGTGTTTCCACCCAACTTTCTACATGAGAGGATCCTTACACCACGATAAGGCATCTCCAAAGAGATTGAGACTGTGAGGTCCCTAGGTCCTTCGACTTCCGTGTAGTGGAATTGTGTAGCGTAAATGTTTTTTAAATCTTATTTTATTTCACGTAGTACACTGTTAACAATTCCTTTTTTTTTCTTATTAAATTACAGACCAAAAAATAATTTATAAGCACGCTACTAACGTTAATACTAAAACATAACGCACACGCACAAAAAACGAACGCTAATTTCAAACTTATATCATATGGGAAAAAAATTTAGGATACACTACACACAAAAAAGAAAAATATAAAAATAGTACAAAAACTCGAAAAAATAAAACAAATATGACACCTTAGCTTTCAATATTGGAACATGGAAAATAGGCCTAGCAGCATACAACGGAGGTAGACCACGCATTGCAAATGCAGAGAGTGGTCCACTTAGCTTCGCATTTTCTGCAGTTTGAGCTTTTAATGGCTATTTGTCTTTCACATTTGATTTTATTTTCCATTAAGGCAAGAAAGACCTTCAAGTTCGTAGACTGACTGATTTCTTGTGAGACATATATCGGATATTCAGCAGTAAGAAAATAATGATTTAACGCATAAAAGCTCTTAGTTTCGGGTTTGTAGCCGTAAAGAATTTCAGAGTAATTGGTATTAATATTGTCGGAACGCTTGATTTTCCACCACATTAAAACGTCATTCCAAAAGGGTTCAACTACAGGGCACTCAAGAAGCATGTGAACAAGTGCTTCATTTTGGAAAAGGCAGTTTTTGCAATACGGGGTTTCTTTTATGTTCATTTTATGTAGAGAGAGATTGGTTGGTATGATGTTATGAATAATTTTAAACTGAAAGCTTCGCAAATTGTTTTCGACAGTGATTTTAAAAGGAAGTTGGTAGGTGTCTTTGACATTTGACACTAGCTCAATTAAATTGATTTCTACAATGAGAGGAGAAAAAGACTTCTGCGAATGTCAAAGGAGCTTTTTTAGTAGAAAGAACAGCGTCGCTATCGCACGAGACTTAAGAGTGATTTTCTGAGAGTGTCGAGAATCGGAAGACAGTCACGAAAAATCGATTTTTCTTTTATTTCGCCAAAACATACCTTTGGGTGAACTT